AGATAGATAGATAGATAGATAGATAGATAGATAGATAGATAGATAGAGATAGCAGGTGATGGTTGTAAAATGTCACATACCTCCTTCCATCTATTGGCTTTCCATGAAGGGCATCGTCCCGATCGGCAAGCTTTGTGAGTTCGAGGTTTCTGCAGATGACTACAATAGTTTTCTTCTAATTCCCTTTGAAATTGATCAATGCAAAGAACCTCCCGGTGCTTTATACCTTTACCACAAGAAGCCGAGCACTACAGAAAATACAAGAAAACATTTAATGCTTTTTATTAACAGCTTCAAGAACTAGAAAATGAAGTAAGCAAAACACTATTACTTCAATATTCTTATTACACATGGTCTGGTATTTGCAGTTAGTGAGGATTTGAAATTTTCCAGTCTGCTCTGGGATATTAATTGATCCTGAAAAAAATAAGACTGCTATTCATTCCATACAAGTACTGATTATCTAAAATGTATTAGGCATAGACTCTGATGCATACAGATTTAGATTTTATAAGGTTAAAGAGACTATCTTCAACCAACTGTATGTCATACTAAACCAGTTTGTATGTAGAGTACCATCTTGCATATTTGTGTTATCATATTTTTACAGCAAACTATTATTTTTCAGTTAAGAACAAAAAATCCTCATGAACATTAAGTTATGAGCTAATTGGGAAAGCAGTTTGCAGGTTTTGTTTTTTTTTTATAACCCATTTGTGTCTGTATTTTATACCACTCTGGAAAGCATATTTCTATAACAGCAGAAGGCATCCAATGCAGACAGCAAAATCCTTGAAAATACAATTCTGTGCATGAGGCCAGTGCACTGTAGTAGACATCTTGGGCTTTGGCATGAAACACTGCTTTTGTACAAGTTTCTCCCGTTGGTAAAGAGGATAAATGCCAGTCCTACAAACGCATCATAACGATCAACATTAGAGGAAGAGTATGGAATGTCCAATACAGTCTGGTGCCTATATGGATTCTTACAAAATAATAGATTCCTCTGCTAGCACTCTTCATGAGTTTTCAGCGTGGGTACTGATAAGTTCAGCGTGATAGATGGACCAGGGGAAGAAAGTCCAGCAAGGAAGACGTGGATCACAGACAACTCCTATTTATACCAATATGGAAGGTGTGTCTCTTGATAACCAGCCCTCCAACTTATATAGTAAAAAAAAAAATCTTATTAAAATACAAGTGGACATTTGATTCATTTAGAAATATATAATAGATTGTGAGACTATTAGCTACTGTATTACATGTTTATATGTATAATTATATATACATACATATGTATACACACACACACACACACATATAATTCTTGAGACTGGAGGCATGGTTCAGCATCCCTCTGGTGATCAAGAGTTATTGCTATTCAATCATGAAGACCAGAACTTAGATTGTATCTCAAAAGCCTGTAACTCACCCAAGCATGGTGGCACACACCTGTAATCCCAGCACTTTGGGAGGCAGAGGCAGACAGATCTCCACGAGTTCAACAACAGCCTGGTCTACAAAGCAGCTAGTCCAGGACAGCCAAGAGTATACAAAGAAACCCTGTCTCCAAAACAAAAAACAAACAAACAACAACAAAACAAAATCAAACAAACAAAACAAAAACAAAAACAAAAAAGCCTGTAACTTGAGTTTTCTTTCTAGCCTCTGCCTGTGTGTGCTACTGTGTGTGTGTTTCCATGCACATGTTTTTTGTGTGCATGTGTGTTTGTACAGATGAGCATCAACACACATGCACATACACTGATGTAGACTCACACACATGGGCACCTAAGTTAAAATCTTTTTTGTTTGGTTTTTTGAGATAGATAGCATTTCATAGTGTGGCCTGTGAGCTGACATGAAGCTCACTATATAGACCATGATGTCCTTGAACTCACAGCAATCTGCCTGCTTCTGCCTCCTGAGTGATGGGATTAGAGGTGTATGCCCCCACACTCAGTGAATATAAGTCCTAAATTTCAAACTTCTCTTGTAGAAGACTCAAGTTTGGTTCCCAGGACTTATGTCCAATGGCCCACAACCACCCATAACTCCTGCTCCCTTAGACACAACACCCTCTTCTCACCTCTGTGGGCACCTGCACACATACACACCCACATATTCATGATTAAATGTTAAAAATAAAATTTAAGTATATATTGACATAATTTGGGAATAATTTAGCTTTTCATAGTTTTGCAATACTACCTCCCATTGGTACAGGCAATTAGCTCAGTGCCTTGATTACTGCTATCACGTCCTGGCTGGTCTCTTCTTCCTCCATATTCAGGACCCACTCAGCTCTGTGGGAGTCTCTGCAGAATCTCCACACACTGTCTAAGGCCCTTCTGAATCAGACTACCTCTATGCTAAACTCACCTTGGCCATTGATATGCTCATGGCCTTACCTTTTCTTTTCTTCACTACTTATTTTTCTAAATATAACATTGTACATTAATAAATGTCACACATTATGTGCCATCAAGCAGATATTAATGGTGATGTATGGGAATTATCCCACATAACACACACCCATGTACAGAATGTTCCTTTTGATTCATACTGTTTTATAATTTTTTAATTAGGATATTTGAAAGACAGTTGTCATGACTCCTTGTTAGTGCCTTTTTTCAACATAATATTTATTGTGAATGTTCATGCGCAGGCTCATCAAACATCATTCTCTCTCTCTCTGCCAGTGTAGCTATAAGCTAAGCATGCATACTCTGCATTAAGTGTACTATGCAGGGTTGGTCCTAATATTAAACATAAGTCATAGAAAACACCACAAGATATTAAATATCACTAAAATGATTACAGTAAAGATACTACAGAGTTTAGTCACCTGTGAAAAGCAACCATTTCTTAAGTCCTTAGGCATGTGATGGAATCTAAAGAGAATCATGTTTGTTCACATATGATATGAAGGATCTTATATATTTGTTTGCTATGCCTCAGCCAGATATTGTTCATGTATTGCTATACACATAGCTGTTCTTGGAAATACCTAAGGTGCTTTTAACAGTGTCAAGACCCCAAGACATGAACAGTAAACTTACAGAATATTACAGGTATTTTCAAGAATGACCAATTCATTCACAAAACAGTTGCAACAGAGGAAAAGAGACAGAAATTGAGATTTTAGTTTAAAATTTAGCAGTATCTCTGCATGGAATGTAAACCCACACATGGTGAACTGAAAAGTCACTCTTCAGAAAACAGAACGATTTTCTATTCATCTTTGACTTTCTCTTCCACCTTATTTTAATTTACTAGAGTTATCTAGACTATGATTGGTTAAATCCATACTATTATTAAACACACTTTAAATGCAAACCAATTTTATAAACATATTCCATAAGAAAATTCTTATTTTTGTAAAAGTAAAACTAGTAAATGTAATTTCAAGTCTATTTCTCATTTACTCAAGAAATGACAATGCCAATTTCTGTCTTTAACTCATTCTTTTCTTGTTTTATGGGTACACCCAGTTTTAATCAAGATTCTTTTCAAACCTTGTATTATGCAACTTGTCATCGTATTTTTTAACTTCATTTCATGTGTAAGGGTGTTTTGCCTGCGTATATGTCTGTGCACCACATGTTTGCACTTCTATGGGGGCCAGAAGTGGACCCTGGATGCCCTGAGATGCCTAGAGTTAGAGATGGGTGTGGGCCACCATAAGAACTGAAAGAGCAGCCAGTGTGCTTAGCTGCTAAGCCATCTCTCCAAGCTCATTGTCATGGAATATTTGAGGCACAATAATATTCCCCACTCTTTAAGGTGAAACAGTGTTCATGTTTCTTAAATTAATTCCTAGTTCTTTCATTTCTCTTCAATTTTCTTTTAAATTTGTGTACACACAAATACACACACACACACACACACACACACACACAAACAGTTCTCTAAGCTAGAAAAACTATAAAACCAAGCAATTGAAAAGTAATTCATGCGTTGGATGGACTTAACATAAAACCCTTTCTCCTGAGCTCTGAACAAGTACAGATCTGTTTTCCTCAAGTCCTAAGGAAGAGTAGCTGCAGTATTTTATCACATCTGACGAATGCCATGTGGGAATTTCTCTAAAGTAAAAGAGAACACGCTATGCAAAGAATTATGTTTTCCTTGGAAAGAGGCAGCAGCACAGTAAACAACAGTGAAATGTTACTCTCTTCCTTCTCCCAAAACTTGCCTCATTCCAAACCGTGAAGACAACACAACGTTACTCCATTACATAGGAAACCCCCAAACAGCGATTGCTCCTTCTGGAGATAAATATCTGCCTTTTTTCTCTCTCTCTCAATGTTTTAGCCACTGACATCTTTTTATTCCCTTGGAATGTTACTAACACTGTACAGCTCCTTTCTTGCATTCTTGTCAATGTTTTTTTGTTTGTTTGTTTGTTTTTGTTTTCTTAACAGTCACCTCTTAACAGTCACTATATTGATTGTCTTAAACTTGCACATTACTAATTCAGGACAATGGCTTCCATGGTGACTTCTCATCCATGCCTGTGACATACTTTAACCACTCTCCTTTTTGGACATTTTCTTCCTCATCTCAAAACCCCTCCTCTTCTCTAATGGCTGAAGATGTTTCATAACCACAAGAGCAGCAACAGTCAATAAGCATTTGGGTATTCTCAATCAATGCTGTTTACAGATGAGGTGAATAAAAAAAAAAATTCTCTGTTTTTGCCTTACCAGGCCACAGAAAAAGACAGTCCTGATGAGACCTTATAGACTAGGGTCAGTTGGAAGGGGAGGAGGACCTCCCCTATCAGCGGACTGGGAAAGGGTCATGGGAGGCAAAGAGGAAGGGAGGGTGGTATGGGAGGGGAGAAGGGAGGAGGCTACAGCTGGGATACAAATTGAATAAACTGTAATTAATAAAAAAAAAATTTAGAGTCTGTTAAAAACAAAGCAGGACAATTGAAGGAAATGTAGTTTGCAAGTGATAAAATAGAAACTCTCCAGACTTCTTCAGGTAATCTGAAACTTCCTGTTCCAAGAGAATTCATTCTACACTGAAAAGATTAATTCTAGAACAAGAATGTTCTTCTTTTCACAGAATACTTGTATGAAATTATAGAATAAAACTAATTGTTATTTCAGATACAGATGATAGAAAAACCAGTGGCTTAACTGGGAGGACCTTCTGGCTAGTTCTGGAAACATAAACTGCTGAACAAAATCAAATGAGGGAATGAAGGTCGTCTTGATCTAACACGTGGGAACCGTTG